CTCTCGTGCATGGGAGGTGCTCGTGAGCAGCTGGTGAGGAGCGCTTCTGCTGCAGGCAGGCCCTGGGCATTGGTAGATGGGCTTCTGGCACATAGTGGGGGGCCCATGCCACAAAGCTAGTGTAGACAGGGGGTGGGGGGCAGGGGCCTCGCAGGCCCACAGGAGTTTGCAACATCATTGTCATCTCCCCCCAACTCTCCACTCCGAAATGGATTCTCATCTGGTCCATCTAATGCCGGGGTCAGCACGCTGTGGCCCACCTCTGCCTGTTTTTATACATAAAGTTTTATTGACACACAGCCACCCAGTCACTGACGTTGCGTCTGTGATTGCCCTGGCGCAGCCATGACAGCAGAGGGGAGGAGCTGGGAGACCAGCTGTATGGCTGCAAACACTAATGTGTTTTCTGTCTGGTCCTTTCCAGACAAAGTTTGCTGACCTCGATCTCCTCTATAAATAAAACAAATCTTTTTGGAAAAAACACCTTTCTTAAAACCCCGTTTCAACAAGTGAGGTTAATGGCCTTAAGATGGGCAGTGTAGGTGATTTTTAAACGTAACCCTTACGAATCTTTTCTTGTCATTGAACCAAGCAAAAGGTTTCCTTGTGGCTTTGGATGTCTTCAAGGGGTGTGATCCTAATTTCAAAAGGTCTTTAGTGTTTGAATGAATAAAGAGTTTATATGGGACTGTTTGTTTTTTTTTTTAAACCTATTGTTTAAAATTTTTATTTGAAATAGTTGTAGATTTACAGAAAAGCTACAAAGACACTGCAGGGGATTCCTCTAGACCCTTCATCCAGCTTCCCCTGCTGTCAGCATCTTACCGAGAATCATGGCAGTTTTATTAAAAATAAGAAATTCACATTGGTTACATGACTGTTAACTAGAGACTTGATTTGGATTTCACTAGTTCTTCCATTCCTGCCTTTTTCTTCCAGGATCCATTCCAGGATACCATATGGCATTTACGGCATCCAGTGACTTTTTTTCCCCTTTTTTTAATGGTGACATCCACTTAATATCTCCAGTTTTTCCTCTTTGAAATAGTTTATATGTTGTCTTTGGGTAAAGAAAATTATTTGTTCGTGATGACATAACCCTGGAAAGCAGAAGGGACCTCTGACTCCAAAGTACCTAATACTCATAATAGGGGCTTCGTTTATCGAGGGTTCGGTGAGAGCCCGTCACTGTGGGGGTGCCTCACACCTGGCACCCCACTGAAGCTGTACAGCCACTTGGCCTGTTAATGATTCCTTTCATTTTCGTTAAGGAAACTGAGGCCAGGGAGCTTGATACTTACCCAAATTTCAGTTGTGGATGGCCCTCAGCCAAGGCTAACAATGTCATGGGGCACCAGCCTCCAGCGGGCACTCTGAGGTCATTCTCCTTCTCCTTACCACAGCCTCTAGCTAGTGAGAAGTGTCCTCTGTGCTTCCAAAAACAAAAGGAAAAAGCATAGGGAGATTAGCCAGAGCTGGCTTGGGAACCCAGGTCACTCTTCGGAATGGTGGCACTTCCTGCACTTGTAATTTGTGTGATTACAGTCCTTCAGTAGCCACCCCCCCTTGCCTTTAGCACACAGTCCTGCCCCCTCAGTGGGTCTGACTCCCGCCCTCCTCCATTCCTCTCCTTGAATTCTGTTCCAGCCACTCAGAAGGACCTGAGGCTGTGAGCTCTGTGCAGTCTGGTCAAACAGGCTGTAGCACCCACATGACCTTGAGCAGATCCCTGTCAGCTTTCTGAGATGCTCTTCTCGCAGGTTCTGTGAAATGGGAGCACGGCTGGCACCAAGTGCATCGGCGTGTACGTGTCCAGCCCAGTGCTGGAGCGAGCGGCTGGGCCTCGCGGGAGCCAGGGTGCGGAGGGGTGACGGTGATGTTGGCCCTGGCTGCATCAGCTCAGGGCAGACACCGCCTCATCCAGAAAGCCTTCCCAGGGTCCGCGTGATCGCTGGATGCTTCCTCCTCTGTTCTCCCCAAGGACCCTGGGCAACTCTCTACGTGGCAGTCATCACACTGTGTTATGATTATCAGCTTGTCATTCTCTACTCACTTGACTGGGCACTCATGGAGAGCAGGTGTCCTAGTCCCCCGGGTGTCCCCAGGGCCTAGCATGGGGCCTGACAGGTAGTTCTCGGGCCGTAAATGATGAGTGAACTAGGTCCACGTCCAAGTCTCCTAATGGGCAGTGAAGGCCTCCTCGCCCAGCCCTGGACGAGGGCGACTGTCTTGTCACAGGCGTTTGCCCACCGCTGCTGCTGTCCCCTCAGTATGCTCATTTGGAACCGACAGTGTGCTCACGGTGGGATTCTCCCTCTCTGGCACTTAAGCGATAACTGTGGCATTTATTTGAACAGAGATTTCCCATAATATACAGATCTACAATATTTCCTTCTGTCTTTATTAACATTTTCAAACACTTTTGCCCAGGACAGTCGTTCTAGACTTCGGCTGTACGTTTCCAAGGCTGGAATGAAAGATCATTTCACTAATGTGTTAGCTTCTGCTCGGAGACCTTGCAAATGAGGTTTTAAAACCTTTCATTCCAACGCAAACTTCTGATGCGATTCTGACATCATATAATCAGAGTCAAATATCTTGGTTGGGGGGGCGATTTAATCACTTCATATAAGCAATCATTTCTTTCCTTGATATGTATTCTCCCTGTTCTATGTCCTTTGAATATTTTAAATTATGCTCATTGCTCAAAGAGCCCAGAATCGGGCACTTGTGTTGCCAAGCACTGCCCAAAGCCTGATCCGTCTGTGTTATGCAAGAAATGTTCACTAGATGCAGTAGTTCTCCAGTGACTGGTGCAGCTGTTGTCAAATTTTAACAGTTAAGGCCCTAACTCCCCTCCCCCATTGCTGAAATGCTTGTGCTCTTCTGCTGCCAAGAAAGTTTTTAATATGCATGGAGCGTAGAGTCTGGTATTGGAAAAGAGTGGGTCACAGTTTGAATCAGAAGCAGCATATATTGCTGATATGTTACATTTTATAAATATAAACTGTAAAGTATATACATACACAACTACTGTCATAATTTTATGTATCTGAGGGTTTATTCCTGCTCACCACGAAATCTACAGGGTCTTTCCCTGAAATACAGGCTCCAGAGCAAGAGTGTGCATTTATTATTATTATTATTACTTTTATAGAGGTCTCTCAGCACTTTCAAAAATGCGCATTCTACTCCCCGCTTATATGTTCCCAACCCGCGCCCCCCCCCCCCCCCGCCCCCCACCAGAGCACAGGAGACGTCTCTGTTGCCTTAGGAATAGCCAGATAGGCTTTCAGTGTAAGTATTTTCAAGAATGAGTTTCTGAATTAGCAGTATGAAATCTTTATGTGTTTTTCTGCAACCCTCTTGTTGCCATTTGAGAAGGAAATGTCTCTCCTCAAAGAAGGTGGTGGATACTGGCTCTTCTGCGCTCAAAATGGAGACGGGTCCATTCAGAAGAAGGCTCTTTCAGTTTAATGTGTGAAATTGGGAAGCTAGCAAACAAACAGTTATTAGTACTTCCCTTTAACTTATTTCTGTTTTGGTAAATGTGGTTTCTGAGCTTTTCAGGAAGAGTCGACTTCTGCCTCCATTTTTGCAGACCACAAGCTGGCTTTCAGGAAATATGTGGCGCTTAGGTACTTTGTTGTAATTGGTTGCAGCTCATCATTAAATAAAATGGGTGGTTTGTGATCATGCCAGTCCTACTCATCAAAAATTTGTAAAGGGGCAGTAGGAAGAAGGATATAAATGTTTTCTGATGCTTAAATTTGGGAAGTGGTAGGAGTGAACACTGAAAATATTTCATTATGTTTTAGCAGGTAATAAGCTTTTTATTCTTAAATTATCCATCATTTTTGGTTTTTAACCCAAAGACTTTTTTTTTTTTTTTAACCAGGATTCTCCTCTGAACCACAGCCAAAAAAAAAGGGGGGGGAAAGAAAAGGCCTGAATATTTTCTCCATTTTCCCAAAGATGTGAATGTCAAGAACTTTGAAGTCTGAAATATTCTGCTTATAAGCCACCACATTTGTCTGTTGTGGTTTCATGGATACTGGTAGAAGATGCGGGACTCCTGGTCAAAAGACTGCTGATCATAGCAGGAGTAGTAGTTAGAGGATCAGATCCCTGACTCCTAGTTCCTACAGGCTAATGCCCCATGGGCCGGCTGATACCTGCATGCGGAGTGTTAAAAGAGAGGAACCCAGAGCTTAGGAAACCCAGATCTTCTATGATGAGCAGTAAAGCCTGCTTTTTTCTCCAGGTGGAGACCCAGTCTCTATGTCCCCAGGCTGTTTGCTCTACAGACATCCTTGGAAAGATAGTCTAGGAGAAAGGCAGCCAATGCCTCTGCTCAGTAGGAGTGCAGAACATGAGAAGCACATCAAGAATTGTCTCTCACCATATGGGTAGCTGGAACCATTCTAGATGTATAGGAGAGATGTTAATTTTATGTACCTGGATGCCTTAGGGCTTAATTCTCTCTGAGGGCTCAGGCTGAGAAAAACTGTGAGACCTTTGCTGGGGTCTGCCATTTCCAAAATGCCCAGTGTGTTAAATCAGAGATGAGAAAGAGAATATCAGAAACGATATTTTCCTCTGCTGCTTTTTGGGAAAATATAAATAGTGTATTTAGAGCATTAAATACAGTTGACCCTCGAACACTCAGGTTTGAACTGCACAGGTCCACTTCGATGTCGGTTTTTTCAATACAGTACAGTAGTGTAAGTGTCCTTTCTCTTCATTATGATTTTCTTAAAAACATTTTTTCTAGCTTACTTTATTGTAAGGATGCAGTACGTAATGCAAATGTAACATACAAAATATAGGTGAATTGACTTATTGGTAAGGCTTCCGAAGTTCAACAGAAGGCAATTAGCAAGGGTTAAGTTTTGGGGGGAGTCAAAAGTTACATGTGGATTTTTGACTGCATGGGGATCAGTGTCCCTAATTCTCGCATTTTCAGGGGTCAACTGTAGTTAAAAAATTTCTCATCTTCATTACAGTAAAACCCCCAAAACAAACAAAGGACCCCACCAAATTCTGTAAAGGAGGAGGTGGTTTATATAAAGAAGCTTACGCTTACAATTTCTTGCCTTCAACAACAATTCGGGCAGTGTGCTTGTGGGAGACCCCTATGAGACATGTCGTTATTGGACCTCTGTTGGCTGAGGTGAGAACTCATTTTAGGACTTTCTATTTACTTAACCACTTCTTGCCTCTTCCTCACTCTTTTCCAGTGGAGAAGCCTGTGAAACATTTCTAGTACCCAACCCAGCAGCTGTTCTGTTTGTTTTCCAAACTTTGTTTTGCCACGTAGGTCTCCTCTTTCATAGGACTTCCGATTCTTCACGTGACTTCTGATGCCTCCTCCCCACTGAGACTGTTTCCAGACTTGGGTTTTGCTCCCTCTTTTGAATATTCCACCTCACAAAGTTTTTGCCCGTGTGCGATCCTGAAATCCGAAGTGACTGGCTCAGGCTTCGGAGATGCTGTAGGGGGAAACCCAGGAAATTGAATATAGAAACTTAAGTCTCAGTCTCAGTGGGAAGTCTGAACGGTTATCTGGGTGAACTGGTCAGTGCTGGATCACATAGCACATCTGTATATTGAAGGACATCAAAAAGATCACAGAAAGCAAACAAAAATGGCTAATGTTGAGAACTTGACCCTGAACAAGGATTGCTGAGTCTGAGTCCCTGTTTTGGGACAGGATGGAGAAGACCAAGTTAAGGGATAGGCTTAGACCTATAACACCTGCTATGCCAACAGTTCTTTCACTTTCCAAAAGGAGTGTTTTTCCTTTACAAAAAAGCAAATCACTTAAAAAAAAAAGATGTGAGGATTAAGTAGATAATAGCTATACAATTTATGATCTTTATTTTTAAAGAGCCTTATAAATATAGTCACCATTGTTACTTTATCTTCATCCTGTAGCTGTCCTCCCTCTCTGCAGATGGATGGCCATCATTTAATCACTAGGCTATTTATGACCTGGAAGCGTTGATGGGGGTGTGGTAAAACATCTCATCTGTTGCCACCACCACCCTCCGAGCACCTTGAATAATTGCTGGGAGATGAAATGGCAATTGTTTGGCTAAGTGCAGTCTTAAATTCTCTGTCAGAGCTTCACTCACGCCTTCTTCTCCCTTCCTGATTAGGAAGACACCACTTAAGGTTCATTTTCTGATAAGGCATTGAGTGACTTTTGGTGCTGGCAATACAGATCATTTGAGATTTATAGGTTTCTTTGCTTGGTTATGAAATAGGTTTTATGACTTCCACATGAATTGGCTGGATCGGGGGATTGTAAATAAATTGTTCAAAAAATAATGTTTTTTAAAATGGGAGCCCCTCTCCCCTTTACTGGTCAAAGGATAGGAGACCTTCTAGTGTACTAAATATCTATAAAGTCAGTAATGCAATATTTCATGTACTTGATTTGTAAAATCCAATTGTAGTGGTAGAATGGTTGTTCAGATGTTCATGGAAGACTTCACATGCCTAGCACTCTGCCTGGCTCTCTGAGGTCTGTGGAAGGAGTTAAAGACCTGATTTTACCCCAAAGGCAAGAAGGATCTCTGAAACCATCACAGGATAACTCCTGCCAACCTGCCCTCCTATTTCTTACTGGGCTGGGCCTTCAGAGATCTGTGCCTTAGACCAAAGGAGAAGCATTCGGGGAGGCAGGCCTGGAGCTGAGCTGAGGAAGGGACAGATTGGGGCTGGCAGAGGGGTTGGGGAGCCTGAGAGGTGAGGAGAGACCTGAGGCAGAGTGCGGGACCCATCAGGGAGCAGGCAGAGGACAGGTCGGGGAACGCACTCATTCTTGGGGAGACGGATGGGGCAGCCTGGGTCTCAGGTGGCTGAGGGTGGCTGGTTGAGCCACTCGAGTTGGAGGACTTGGACTGGGGGCTGAGCCAGGAGACCACAGTGGAGACACAGGCACGAAGCAACGTGATGAGAAGGTAGAGAAGAGGACAGCATGGGGGCTATTGGAAGCGAAAATGGACTGAATTAGATGTTAGTTCTGCTGCAGAGGAAAGAAGCAAAGGTAATGCTCAGGAATGGGGAAGGATAAGGAAACTGCTCACGGAAACTGGTTTTAGCTGAAGAGGGTGAATTTGAGGTGAAGAGCATCTGGGTGTAGCAGCCATTGAATACATGTGTGTCGAAAATGTTGTTGAAGCGAGCAGCTTTCATCACTGTGCTTTTAAAGTAAGCTTCATATACCATAGTCACAAGCCTCTAGTTTGGAGATAATTAAAGAGTAATTTAATTCAAATCAGCATCTATTTATTGCCTTCTTTTTCATGGTTAGAGGCCCCTCCGTGAGTCTGTTCACTGACCTTTTTATGTTAGCTTTTTTTTTTTTTTAATTTGCAAATATTAGGGAATGTTAAGGTCCCCAAAGATTTTTGCTGTCCATGGGTTTCTCTCTTAAGTGCTGTCTTTGGTCTGCTCTAGAGGAATCTTGATTCCTAGGGGCAGTTTTTTCTGAGTTGTCCTGTGTGTATGATCAGATGAAACAGCTTTAAACACTGAAAGGCCATGTGTTGGGTTTTTGGAGCGACAGGTCATGAGTTTGACTGTAGATTCTGACACTTTCCTTATAAGCAGAGAACATGAGCACCTCAAAAGTCCAAGTAACTGGTCACGGCATTTGGATTCTAGTGTCCTAATTAGTGAACTGATACGGTGCTAGGTTGGACAAGACTCGATCTTCCCCATGAACCTGGAGAAGTACAAGGCATCTCTCCTTTGGATTGTGGTTCTTGGGGCTACAGACCAGTGAGAACTCTGTCCTGTTCTAGTCATTGGGGGAGATAAGGAAGCTATCGTCTTAGCCATTTAGGAATGGGGTATCATGTATTTGGTGTTCTGTGGCCTTTATACTATTAACCCTGTCCTTCAAATTTCCATCTGCAGTCCCTGCCAGACGAGATCACCCATGGTCCAGTGGCTTAACACGCAGTCCCCAACCACACCAAGCTGCAGCCCAGTGGTCACACCTTCTTCACCCAAGCCACCGCCTTCTCCCCTCTCTCTGCCTGCCGCCATAGTGGACAAGCCGCTGGAAAGGTACGGGGTATGGCAAATGATGTCGAAGACAGGGGCAGCACACAGGCTTGATCAACCTGAGCAGCTTCTTGTGTTCCCTGCACAAAAGAGGCTTGCTCAGGTTCTCGCAGAAGTGCTGGCCTAGCAAGCCCTTCGTCCTGGGTGGTAGGCTGAAGTTCTTCTTGTCTTCACTGGCTTCTCCCCACTCCAGTGAGGTGGGGCACTTCCTTCTGCTTCAGTTTGCATCTGGCTAACACCATGGTCTCCCTCCTCCTCTGGTGTGCTCTTTCCCCAGAAGGGCACAGAGGGCATTTTGACAAGTGGTGAGAAGCTGAGCCTTGAAATGCCTTTTGGAGGCAGGCGGAGGGGGTCAAATAGCGAAGACCCAGCGCAGAACAACAAACTCCTTCCAGAGTGGTGTGGAAGGAGACTGTCCGCGTGGACAGAGGGATGTCCGCTGAGCACTGCCCCAAGTCACTCGGTGCGCGCGCCTCTCCCTTCACTGCCTCACCTTCTGTCTCAAGATACTGGTGCTTTTCCTAATAGATGAATGCAGCGCTTAGGAGTAAACATACCCTGTGGCTCCGATAATGCTGAATGATAGGAAAAGGGCATCCCACCGGGCAGAGAGGAGAATTAGGTGATGAGGTTCAGTGAAAGCTTCTCAGAGAAGCTCCCAGAAGAAAGATTTGAATTTGAAACCCATCATTTACTTGAAAATCAAGTGCTGTAGATGTGCCCGATGTTCACTTCGCTGCTATTTGGTTAGTTGGTCGGTTTGTTTTTTGGAAGGAGTTTTCCCACTGGTGCTGTGTAAATGAGGTGTGGGAAGGGGTGGGGTTGGGGGGAGGTGAGGTTTCCCCTCCCGGTTTCTCACCTTTTAATTCATGTCTTTCATGTTCCCTTCTCAGCGTTGTCAGTCGGAAGGCTCGAGCAGTGTATCCGTGTGAAGCAGAACACAGCTCAGAATTGTCTTTTGAAATAGGAGCAGTTTTTGAGGATGGTAAGTGTCTGTGGGAGCTCTGTGGTAGCATATATTCTGTCCCCCCTCAGAATGTCTACAATCTGGAGTAAGCAGTCACTGGTTGTGGGCTTGTCAGGGGCACACGTCCATCCCTTGACCCTTTGGGCAGGAGAGAGCTGGCCCAGTTGGCTGCCGGGGGGCATGGGGGGGGCTGGCTATGGAATTCCACTTCTGCTTTCATCTTGATGATTCTCCAGCCCTTTGAACTCTTGTGAATCTTTGCTCAGGACATCCTTCTCCTGATGTAGAGAAGCCAGTGCCACTTGGAACTAAGAAATACTTCTAATTTGCATCCTTTGTTTTCTTCTCCCAGAGTCTCCAGCCAAGCCTCCTCTGTGTGTCAGGTTTGCCAGATCTGAGTTACAGAAGAGAACTCTTGTCAAAAAATTTTGGTTTATAGTTCCCATGCCATTCTTTTGCTTTACATGATCTTTGCTCATTTGAATAGTGTGTGAATCTCTGGATCTGGGTATTGACTTTGTACATTGAAGCAAGGGTGTGGATTTTATCCCAGTCTTTAATATTCACACACATGCGTTTAGGAGCTTTGCCTGGCTTAGTATTTCACAGATTTCTCCTATGGTTCATTGTTTGTCTCTTTTCCCCCGTCTCCTGATTTCTTCCTTAACAGTCTTGCTCATTCTGAAATTCATGGGTTGCTGTGGAAACGGTGATGCATGTGGGTGGAGCTGCCCAAAAGAGTTCTGGGGAGGCAGTGAAGATCTTAGATGCTTGGAATGGAAAGGTGGGTTAGCCAGAATGTTTGGAATATATGGAATATATCAACACAACACCTAGTGGTATATTGTCAGTAATGCAGTGTTTGCTGGTGATTGTCTTTTAGAAAGCAATTTGCCTATTTATTTATATTTAGAGAGGGAGCGGGGAGGGACAGAGGGAAAAGGCGAAAGAAAATCTTAAGCAGCCTCCACGCCCAGTGGGGAGCCTGAGGTGGGGCTTGATCTCACGACCCTGAGATCATGACCTGAGCCAAAATCAAGAGTGAAATTAAGCATCAGACGCTTAACCGGCTGAGCCACCCAGGCGCCCCACAAGTTGCCTCATTTAGAATAGATTTGTGTGTGTGATGTGTACTCTTGAGAGCCAGGAACTCCTGATAGTGTCAGAAAACAAACAACACTCCCGCCAGAACCCCACATACAGCAGAATTATACTTTATGGAGAAATTTTATTCTTGGAGTAGAAGCAAGGTCATTCCTCTGTCACCATGACACACACACATGTGATTTTGCCAGGAGAGCATGGTAAAAAATCTGCCCTACTCCAGGCCCTTCACATGTTGGCCCACCACGTGGCAGGACAGAACACTGAGACAGTAGTGTTGAAACCCACCCATTTGAGAGGTGATGGTGAACGTTTACATTGTGTGGTGATTAGACCTGATCGGGAGCTTCTGAAATCCCTTAGGCTATATTGTTCGTCAGATGTTTACCTTGGTAGAAGGTGTATCTATTAGGATGCCTTTGGCTGCAAGAAACTGATACAACCGGCTATCAGTCGTGAAAATAGATTAGCTCCTACAGTGATTAAGTCTGGAAGGGTTGGCTAATTCACATTCTCAAAGATAGCATCAAAATCACGGTAGATCCATCTCTGCTGAGCCGTTCACAGCTTGTGGACAGGGGCTGGCTTCCGCGGTGGGGACGAGATGGCTGCCAGTCCAGGCATCATAGCTATGCCAGACCCTCGCAGAGGGGGGTGCCTCATCCTTGTGTTTTTTTTTTGTTTTTCTTTTTTTTTAAGAAGGAGAAAACTTTTCCAGAACTTCTTCCTTCGTTTACCTGCCCTCACGTCTCAATAGTCAGAACAAGGTCAGATGCTCACTCCAAACCCATCACTGGCCAGGGCTTAGGGCAATCTGAACCACACTGGGCGCAGGGACCCCTCCTCTGGGCACACAGACACGTGAATGACGGTCAGGACCTCAACCAAATCCAGTTTCTGCCATCATGGGTAACGGGAAAGGCTAACAGATGTCAGACACGAGAGACTGACTGCTGTACCTCTGAAGTCCCCCCACACACACGCACGCACGCACGCACACGCGCGCACACACACACACGTATTAGTATCTCACTGTGTTTAGGAAGAGGAGAGTGATGAGAGCAGGTAACTATGGATCATCAACCCTGCAGTTATTTTGCTTAAGATCAGATTGGCTTTTCTACTTTCTCTGTGCCTTTGGACGAGTTAAGTTCTCTCTGGATCAGATTCTCCATCCTAATTTTCACGGATGTCTACAAGAGTGATGCGGTGTCAGGGCAGCATCTTGGGCCACGGGTGTGGGTAGGGCTTTGAGAACAGCGCAGACGTCCATGGAGGACGGGGCCGAGCAGGGAGCCACACTTGGCGCAGTGTGGGGCGCCAGGGACCGGCTCCGTTCTGAGCCAAGGTCTGTGTCCCTCAGACTCGGTGCTCTGTAGAGCTGTGTCCAGCTCTGGCTGGGTCCCCGGCACAGTGGTTCCTCAGTCTCTCCCTCAGGCCGGCTGCCCCCTTCTCCTACACAAGTATGTTAGCGTCTTATTTTATGTGAGCTCCTTGTCCTGTGCGTGCTCCCTGTGACCCTCCTGCAGTGACGGCACAGAGAAGCACGGCGGACACAGAGGAATGCATTCAGAACCTACACCGTGACCCTCGCGGTGTCTTAGGGCTAGTTCTTAAAGGGTACGGAAAGTGAAAGGCCCTTAAACAGGATTTATTCTTTTTACTCTGCACCTTCATCTCTGTGCATAATTGATCTCTTAGCAGAAAATGCATGATTTGTTGTGTGCTTGCTTAGGATGTGTAGTGAAGCTCTTCCTTGAATGGTTTGGGGACTTCCTCTCCGGGGACCGACCCAGAGTAGGACAGAAGGGCAGCTCGTCCAGCCTCAGCTTCTGTGGAGCGAGGCAGGGCTCCGGGTGGCCGCTGTGACGGCACCAGCCACAGGAATGTGGCCAGGACCACCTCTTTTCTGCACACCGGCAATACTTTGGCCTCTAAAATGTCCGAGACCTTTTCCCTGTGTTCGCTTGTCCACTGGAGCCTTACCGGCTATCATAAATGCTCTTGCAATATAATCGCCTTTTGTACCTCATATGGGCAACAAAGAAAATTGGATTATGGCATTCAGTGGCCTTTGGTAAAGACAAAATCCAGGTCAAAGTGGCCCGTGGGCCGCATCATCAGTAGTTATGTGGTTTGTAATATATACAACAGTGAGAAACCCTAAAGCAGAGTGTGGAAGAGAAAGGGATCTTTAGTAATGAAGTAGCTTGATAGCTGTTCCTTGCTCTTTTGCTCTTACCGTGTGGACCTGGACGTAAGTTATGAGTTTAAATTGTAGGCTGAAGATTGATCTGTATTGTAGACACATGAATGCTTAGCGGTTGTTTAGGGGCAGTGTCTCCCATATCCCCCAGGGAGGGCCGTGTTTGTAAAGTCTCAGGGCAGCTTATATTCCTGTGACTGCCGTATGGACCTTCCCTTCTCTCCGGGCCCGGGGAACTCCAGAAGCACATTTGCCTGGTGACCAGTCAGTCCTGCTCTCTTTCCAGATAGGCAGCTTTTCGGTTGGCAGACCCTCCCGTCAGACTGGGGAGTGGTGTCCCTCCATAGGCTGCCAGGCACGAAGAGGGGGGCCCTCTGGAGGGAGGGTTTCCGGGAGCTGGCCATCTCTCAGCAGCGCCCCCTCGACTTTGTTCATTTCCATGTGGATATGTGGCTGAGCCGATGCCTTGGGGAGCAGGTGTCGCCCAGATTAATCTTTTAAAACTCCTGGTGATTCATTTTTAAAGATCTCAAATATATAAAGAGTAATCCTTGCAAAACAATTTAGCATTATCTTGGCAGGTTGAATCTGTACAGACCCCACAACCCAACAATTGTACTCCTGTACTCTAACAGTTGTACCTGTGGGAATCCTTACATGTTAAGTAAAAAAAAAAAAAAAAAAAAGTGAGTGCCAGAAGGCTGTATGTAATGTGGTTCTGGCTAAGCTCTGAAATAAGCAAAATAAATAGCATATTATTTAGAGATCTGTACACGTGCGATGAAACTGTGATTTAAACCTAGCTGGGGTAAGAGGATGAGAAGTAGAACATTCAAGCTACTGGTCACCTTGAGGTGGTAGGGGCATTAGGTGAGCTAAGCAGAGGAACCAACCCAGGACGAGGCCCCCGTATCGGTCATGCGCAGGTGGCTTCCTGGTATTCACTGTATTATGGTGATGCTTCATAATACTTGAATATTTGTCATATATATTGTTTTTATTATGCTAAAAAAAAAAAAACCCCACCCAAACTGGAACTGAGTCCATATTCGGTTCTGGAGAAAGCTTCTTGCAAATTATTCTTGCCGCTGGCTCCTGTGCTCCTGTTGTTATGGGACGGTAAATGAGGAGGACGTGGGAAAAGCACAGTGAGATTTCACCTCATACCCATTAGGATGACTGTTATCAAAAACACAGAAGAGAGCAAGCACTGGCAAGGATGTGGAGAAATCGGAACCCTTGTGCGTTGCCGGTAGGAATGTAAAATGGTGCACATAGCTGCGGGAGGATGGAATGGAAGTTCCTCAGACAGATGAATCAGAGTTACCATCCAGTCCAGCAATTCCACTTCTGGATATACACACAGAAGACTTGAAAGCAGGGACTCAAACAGGTGTTTGGACACCCGTGTTCACAGCTGCATTTGCACAGTAGCCAAAAGGGAAACACCTGAATGTTCCTTAACGGATGAGCGGATAAACAAAATGTGGTAGATATACGTATAATGGAATATTCGGCCGTGAAAGGAATGAAATTCTGAGACATGCTCCAAAGTGGGTGAATCTTGAAGGTATTAAGTTAAGGGAAATAAGCCAGCCACAAAAGGCCAAATTGTGTATAATTCCACTTACATGAAATACCTATAATAGGCAAATTCATAAAGACAGAAAGTAGCATGCAGGGTCCCAGGAGCCCAGGGAGGGGGCTGGGGAGTTAGTGTTTAAGGAACACCGAGTTTCAGCTTGGGAAGGGGTAAGAGCTCTGGGGATGGAGATGGTGCTGGTGGTTAGACAATACTGTGACTCTTCTGAATTGCATGCTTCCAAATGATCACAGTGGCAAATTTTAGGTTATATATACATTATAACAGTAAAAGCAGTTGTACTAGAGAGCATTGGTGTAACTGTCATCACACACTTACCGGGTTCTTCAGGCTGTGTGGCTTGCTAAGTGGCAGGACAGGGTGTGTAGCTTGGGCCCTTTCTCGCCCCCCGGCGCTTGCTGAGGAGGACCTTGCTGTGTCACCTCTGCGGCATGGGAGTCTGTAAGGAGCAGCTAGCTGCCTCTGCACAGCCTCTCGGTGTGGGGAGCAAGCTCCTGACCTGTGGCCCACGGGATTGTGGCCGGCGGTAGCCCAACGTCAGGGAACTGGGAGGAATTATCTTTAGTTCACTCACCGCATTGCATTCCCGTGCCCACTACCTTTGGGAGCGTTTGAGGAGGGTATTTACTGCTCACAGTGTTAGTGAGCCCATACCCATTGTCTTCATTCAGGCTGCTGTAGCAGACACCATAGACTGGGGGGCTTAAGCAGCAGAAACATATGTCCCCCAGCTCTGGAGG